GCTTTGATAAAAGTTTCTGTATATAAGAAAAGTTCCTAGGCATCGGCACTGCTGGTTCAAAAGGCTTGGACTTGTGATATATGTGTTATTCAATCGTCCTCCAAGGAGGCCGTGGGTCTGTAGCTCTGCCATCACTGTATGGGGTGCTGCCGCCGCCCACAGTTCAGAGCACCACCCGTTTCCGTGGATTCCTGTGGCACAGGTGCATCTACCATAGCGAAGGGAGAACACACACATGATCCTATCTGACATTAACGTGCCCTCCCTGCCACAATATTAAACATCTCCAAAAGGTGATCCTGGTTAAAGGTTGGAAACTTATGGGAAACTCTCTTTCCATTCCACCCTTCAGAGATAGCGGCTGGTGAACCCACGCCTTACAGAACGTCTCTAACGCGGCTGACTAGAACTGCCATACTGTTTCAACCGGAGCATGGATTAGGTTAGATCTATATTCTGCTATTAAAGGAGGTAAAGATACAATCTGGCGGATAGAAGTGGAATGCTCTGACCTGACCGCCTGAGGAACTACAGTGAGGTGGACAGGGTTCCTGCTTCTGCTGCCCTTACACATTTCAGAGGCAAAGGACTGGGGGCCTAAGCAGTGTCCTTAGGACAGACAACGGGGATGTGGTGGGTGGACTGGGATGTGATCAGGAAGCCAGTTTAAAAGGGAGCACGCAGGTGACCATTGAAAGCCACTACCCAAAACCAGGGAGAGGGCAGAATCCTAGTCAGAGGGCACGTGAGGAAAACACCCATGGAGGGTGAGCTGGACCCATCTAGGAAACTGATCCAGGATGATGAGGATACACGGGCAACCCGCCGTGGTGCCAAACACACTGCAGATGAGGTACTAACGCCCTGCTCATGACCTTATACATCTCGTATATTCTGAGAAGATGGAAAACGTGCATTACTTTTCTGATATGCACGTTCCTATATGTGTACAGTGTGTGTGAGTGTGCCTGCGTGTATAAGTCATTACTTTTCTGTATATGCACGTTCCTATATGTGTATGATGTGTGTGTGTGTGCTCGCGCGTGCGTGTATAAGTCTGTGCATCTGAAGACCAGAGGTCAGCTCAGAGTCTTCTTGATTGCTCCCCACCTTACTTTATGAGACAGGTTTTCCTACTGAATCCGGTATTTACCAATTCAGCTAGTCTGGCTGGTCAGTGACGCCCAGAGACCCTCCTGTCTCCGCCTCTCTAGTGCTGGGGATACAAGAGCATATGGCTCTGCTTGGCTTTTTATATGGTGGCTGGGGACCCTAACTCAGGTCCTCATGCTTGCAAGGCAAGCACTACTGACTGAGCCGTCTCCCAGGTTCTCCCTTTGGCCTGCTGCTAGAAGGGCGAGCATGGTTGACTCTGAGACTCTTCCCCTGGCCACGCTCAGCCGCAAGAACAGACAGAGGCATCCACGTCACTCTTCCTTGTACTGCCCTGCACTCAGGCGTTTCTCTTCTTGGTGACAAGCCCCGGAAAATGAACGCATCCTACAACACCCCCGTACAGTACTTCTCAGAGCATATTTCAACTCAACCACCCGAACCTTCACAAGCCAGTCACTGTTAGAAGTTGTTGCTAGGATGCCCCGTCCCCTTAACCTGACGGTCCATCACCGGGAGAGCAGGCGGGACAGAACCAGGGGGAGGCAGAAGGGATGCAGAACATACAGGCTGCAGGTCAGGCTGGGTGTTGCGGATACACCTTCAGGAAGTGTCTACTTTACTCAAATAGACAAGGTGGCTTTGTCAAAGTGACAATCCATGGGACGGCACTTTGTGAGGTAGTAACAGGGCTGTTGGAGGGCCTGCCCCATGTGTCCTTCAGGGTTTTGAGAGGTTTCCAGGGACAGTTTGAAGAGGAAAAGGTCCTGCCTGGTGATACCGGTCTGTGTCTTGACTGTTCTTGAACCAAGGGCTACAAACCCGCAAGATCAGGGGCATATGCCCAACATGGACTCTGCTTCAGCAGGGAACACACCACCCCTTTGGATTCAGGTTGGCAGCTGCGCTATGGCACCCTGTGCTGCTGGCCGACTAAATATTGAACACGGGAGGAAACAGAATGTCCCCACACCATTCCAGACCTTTCACTATCACCTCATTCTTGCCCAGCTCACAGCTGCTCTGAGCTTGATCATAACCAGAGCACCCCCAGGGACTCCATGAGAAGCAAGAGGAAATGAAGGCCACTCCTGACCTAGAGGATGGTCCTAGAGAATGGCACCAGGCGCCAGCCCTGTAAACAACCTCACTGCTCGGAATCTGGTTTCTCTTAAAGTGCACCCTGAAAAAAAAAAGTCACTTACAGATGTTTCTCCACTGTTTTACGACTCTGGTAAAAAGCCAGTAGGCTCAGAGAGAATGCTACACCACATCTGGGCACAGAGGACACTGCTCTGGTAGGCCCCTCCCTTTCTCCAGTCTCCAGGTAGATTCTGTAATAACCAGGGTCCCCGGGGGAATCTCCTCTGTCTACTTCATGCTGGGAATTACCCACAAAGGTGCTGTCTTACGTTTCAGGATGTCGGAAGCAAATGTCAGATTCTCAGTGCTGGCTTCTGTAGCATAATTCAAAGAGTTGTTCGACCAACCCAGCCAACCCAGAAGGCTCCAAAACAATACAGGTTAGCCATTGCTCATGGTTGACCACAAGGCGAGATTGTTCTAGAACTAGACACTACTACTTTAGAATGTAGGTCACAGAGAAATCAAGATGGTTCTGAGCTAGAAGCTTCCTCCCTGGTGGCTAGCTTTCACAGTGACAGGTGTTGGCTGCTGGGGAGCGTGTCATCAACAGTCTTCCCTAGCTATGAACTTGCATGCTATAAGACCAACCAGCCAGGCAAGAGAAGAGCATTGGTATAATAGTGGCATGACTGTTATGGAGGTAACCAACCGTATTTTGTTCAGATCTGTGGCCTGCTCCTCAGGAGGGAGTTCATACCTGGTACTGTAGAACTAGCAACCTGAACCTCTCACCATCTATATTAAACCTTGTGGGTTAAAAAAAATAGGACGAGGTATCTACTAATTTCTCTCTACTGGGAGTGACCAACCTTTCAATAGTATAACGTGATACTGTCATCTACACAAAGTACACATAGGACACATAATAGAGTTTGGGGGGGGGGACAGAGACACAGAGAGAGAGGGAAAAGAAAGGACCTCAGTGTTTTAAATTACAGTTTTGTGTTGGGTCACATTCACGGCTGTCCTTGGCTACAGGCAGCCTGTGGTTGAACATGCTTCCAACCATACCAAAAGTAACTCCCTAGAAACAATACCAAATAAAGGTTTCCATTTCCAGAGCCAATTCTGGTTGTTTGAGATCAGTTACTCCACACCTCTCCCAGACATAGTGCACTCCAGAAATCTTGACCATCACCTGCCCCCCACATCCCTACACCTACTGACACTGGCCAGGGCTCCTCGTGAACGGGCTTCTTCTCAGGATAAGACAGACAGATGGTCCTCTCCCCGGAACTATAGTAGTTCTAACACGGTCAAGATGCTGTCTCCCCCTTCAGAGCACTACTCTCATTTTTATTAGCATCATCATTATCTTACAAGGATTTAGTGCAGTGACCGCGCAGGTCCCTGCGGAGGCGGAGGTGCACACAGAGCTCACTAGGAAGCGTGTGGCACAGGGGAGTGATGCTTTAGGTGCTGCTGTTCCTACCCAGCTCATCACGGCTCAGTGACCCTGGTCCAGGAACTGACGATGCTGTTAAGCCTGCATGGCAGACAGCCGTATGTAGCCCAGGCTGCTTTCCACGTTGCTGCTTGGCCTAGGATAACCTTGATCTCCTGGTCCTCCTGACTCCACTTCCTGAGAGCTAGGATCACAAGCGTGCCCTGCCATTTCTGGCTTATGTGATGGTAGGGATGGAACCTCTCAAGCACTCTGTCAGCTGGGCCCAGCACCTTTCCTCTAAGTCTGTATGACTCATGCCTCTTAATCACATACATTAGGAAAGAAAAAATGAACGTTGCTTCTGTGGCCGCCCAACACCCCACCTGCCTCACATAGTTATGCTCCTGTCAAATGGCCCCAACCTGCTGCTTAGGTCACGTGTGTGCCAAATTTATGCAGAATGGAGCACAACCCTCACCCTGGGGTTTACTGAGCACGGCCCAGTTGCTAGGTTCCTGACGGCTCGGGGGAGCACTCTGCAATTGCTTTGGTCTGTTCATTTCCAGAGTCTAAAACCAAAGCTATTAAAGGCCCTCCCTCCCATCTCAGCCAACATCCTGTTCCTTTTAGATCTAGCCCAGTACCGTTTCCTTCACGGAGTCCTCGTGCTCCATGCACAAACGTGCTTTTCCTCCATGTTCAGCACCTGGTGTCTGTCCCCATGTCTGTCCCGACAGTACCAGACAGTATCCTTAGACTCTGACATCTGCAGTGCAAGAACATGGGCCCATGCATATAGGAAACTTCCAACTCTTATTGAAGGCGCATTTGCATCACCTGAACCTGGGTGGTGTGCAGGATTAAAGGGATGCCACCGAGCTACCCTGACAGCTACCCTTGACCACGTGCAGCCCAAGGCCTGGACACACCTACAGCTACACCGAAGGAAACACTTGCGAAGCATGGCTCCAGATGGAGGGTTCCCTGTTTCCAAAACCCACCACAGTCACTTTGTATCAGTCTTCTCCACACAGACAGGCGGACTCCTGTAAAGCCAAACCTCATTGCTTCTATCAACCCCTGTGGGCTAATTGCTCTGCATGCCAGCCCAGCCAATGGTCTGTATGCACTGTGAGAAGCCGGAACAAAGGCACAACGGCAGGTGCGTAGCCAAAGCCAGCAGCATGAATGGGCTGCCTGCTCACCCAGCAGCCTTCTGAAACACTACAAGGGACAAGCTTCAGGGGTCAAGTGGGTTGTATCTGCTCTCTGGGCCCTGCCAGAGGAGAAGGGGCAATGTTCTGCATTCTGCTACATTTACCTCAGGGCTCATTTTTCAGCATTGCTCAATTAATACTTGCTGACCATAATGCTCTTTATTCTCAGGGCCCGTACAAATCCAGGTACCTTCATAAATGCAGTGTTTCTGGAGAAAAAAAGCTGAATGGACAGAGTGAATGAGCACCGCCCACGTTTCTTCATAGGGGCTCTAGGTGTCAGCCAAGCCACGGCGTCACTCTATCTGAGTCCCCCCCGGCTGCAGCCAGGAGAGATGAAATGAAACAAATGGGAGAGAGCAAACATCCATTCAGAGAGTTGAAATGAATCTTCCTGCATCTCTCTGCCATCACTTTCAGAACCGTTTCAGGATCCTGCAGTCTACACATGCCATTAAAAAAATATCAGCAACATACAGAGATGGAGATGGATGTTCAGGAGGCCTTGGCTTTGATCTTGGACAGCAATAGCTCATTCTTTCGGCCCTCCTGGAAGCAGAGCAAGAGAGAAGCAATGGCTGTTAGTCACTGGGACTCACGTGGGGCCTCCGAAGACGCCCTGACCGTTGCCCCAGTCCCAGTAACTGCCCTTCCCTGGCCCACCACACTTTGAGGCAGAGACTCAGCCTAGGTTGGTCTTGAACTGGCTATGAAGCCAAACATGATGCTCCTGCCTCCACCTCCTGGGTACTAGAATGACAGCCGTGTTCTCAACTGCCAAGCAAGCACGCTACAAACTGACCTACATCTCTTGCCCCTTAGTGGCCATTTTCTGACAAGTCAGTCTCCTGGCATGAAGCCACCAGGATAGCGCCACTCCCTGGTGACCTACTAACTTGTGCCGAGACAGATGTGATGAAGCCTCTGGACTGAAGGTGGGAAACCAGGCACTGCCATTCCTACAGACAGAGCTTTCTACAATCTCCAAGGGGCAGAAGCAGAAAGCGGACAGGTATCTTCCAGTCTGCTTGGGGAGGTGAGAGAAGGGGCCTGGGGGACTGTACCCCACGAGGTGAGCAAGGTAGCCCTAGTGTAGACCCAGCAGGTGAAACACTGAGGGGTTCTAACAGCAAAGATGCCGAGCATCCTCAGCCTTAAGAAACAAGTGCACAGGCGATGTGACGAGAGCTGTTCATGAGGGGACTTCCTTCTCCCACCATGAGATGTATAAGGGCTATGACTAAACACTTTGGCGTGCCATCACTGACAGATGCCACTGGTCCCGTCCCCTGCAGATGCTGTCCAGTGTCCTGAGAAACCACTTACCCTTCTGCCAAATTCTAGACCTGTTCACTTGACAGTTCAAGACTCTTTGGTTAGCAAACCCCCAACAACCCCAGGTCCTCCCCAAAGCTTCCTCACGGCTTTGACCAAAAGGGAGCTGAGGGGTTGGGGAGGTGGCTCAGTGCATAAGTGTGCCTGCTGAGGACAGAGTCTGAATCCCCATCACCTGCACAAAAAGATGGACACTACTGAGCATGCCTGTAACCCCGGTGCTGTGGGGATGGAGACAGAGGACTGCTGGGACTTCCTGGCTGCCAGGCTAGCTCTAGACCCAGCGAGAGATCTTGTCTCAAGAGAATATAGCAGGACAATAGAGCAGACATCTAATATCCTCCTCTGGTGTCTGCATGGACATGCATGTGTGTTCTTACACACATATGTACATCACATAAGTACTCCATCCACATCAGTCGCTGGGCTCTTCCTGTGCCTCAGGACCTTGGCTGTTCGCTCAAGCGCCCTTCTCTCCCCACAGCTGAGCCCTGATCAGCCCGTAGAGTATGCCCGTCTGCAAATCTGCATTTGTCTCTGTGCATGGGAAAGTTTGCGACTATTAATATCATTTCTTTCTTAGCTTCTCATCTGTATCCTTCAACACAGTGAAGCCCCATGAGGACAGAGACCATATCTGTTTTACAACCTGATTTATGCCAGAGGCAGCGTGTGGCTGCCAGAGTTTTCTTGTAAAACAGAGGGTAGGCCAGGTAGAGAAGAAGGTGGAAGAGGGGACAGAATAATCCTTGAAAATAATCAAGAACATCATTGGTATGGAACGTTTTCTTTTCTTTTTGTTCATGTGTGTATGTGGGTGTGTGTGCTTGCACACACGTGTACATGAGCCTGTGGAAGTCAGAGGTCAGGCTTAGCTGCTGCTCTTCAGGCACTGTCTACCTTCTTTTTAAAATTGTATTTTCTTTCTTTTTTTGATTTTTCAAGACTGGGTTTCTCTGTATTGCTTTAGAGGCTATCCTTGAACTAGCTCTGTAGACCAGGCTGGCCTCGAACTCAGCGATCCCCCTGCCTCTGCCTTCCTTCCGAGTGCTGGGATTAAAGGCGTGCGCCACCACTGCCCGGCTGTATTTTCTATTTGTTTATTTTGTGTGCACTTGTGTGCCTGCCACAAAGATCACAGGGCAGGTTTGTCTCCTCCCACTTTGTGGGTACTGGGTACCGGGTACTGAAGCTAAGTCATCAAGCTTGGTAGACAACACCTTTACTCACTAAGCTATCTTGCTGGCTCTACCTTAGTTTTCTGAGACAGGGTGTCTCGTCGGCCCGAAACTCATGGAGTAGGCTAGGCTGGCCGGCCTGCAGGCCCCAGAGGTCCTCCTGCCTCCTGTTCTCCAGCTCTGGGGCTACAAGTGGGCGCCATACCTGTGTGTGTGTGTGTGTGTGTGTGTGTGTGTGTGTGTGTGTGTGTTTCCTCCCTGTGGGTCCTGGGGAACGAACTCATGTACTCCCATTTTCACTGCAAGCCCCTCACCGACAGAGCCCACTTCCAGCCAGCCTTGGCTGCCATCTGTCCGGCCCGCGCCCTCTCACCTCTTTGAACTCTTTCACAGTCTTGAAGTAGAGCCGTCGCTTCTCCAGAAGCCCCAGGTACTGATCGTTCAGCTGGTCCCTTCTCATCTTGTTCTCCTGCTTCTTCTTTTCCATCTGCCGGAAACATGTTGGCGCGTGAATGAATGGGCACCCTGACAGCGACCGCAGCGGGCAGCCAGCCTTGGTTAACATTACTATCTGCTTCTTCCAGGATGGCCTGTTTCCTTGAATGACAGATAGCATCTGCACGCTCTATGGTCTGTGCGGTGGCTCAGTGGCCGTGGCACAGTAAATGTGTTCTGGAGGTATTCTCCACTGGGGGCTACTTTGTCTCTAGAGGGCGTTTGTGAGTGAGTGTCTGCGAAGGTGCTGGGGGTCACCATCGCAAGGACGGCGTTGCTGGCACCACTGGCAAGGAGAAGCTGCTAGCGACCCTACAGGCTCGGGGCCGTGATATCTGGCACAGAATGTCACCTGTGTTGTAGGTGAGCAAGCCTGATGTATGTAACGGTGTATTTATAATAAAACAGCCCACCGCTGTTTTCTCGTAACCGTGGCAAAGGATAAGCTATCTGCAGTTACCTCGACTACGTTATAGCTTGTTTGCAGGATTCAGATCTTATACACAGACACTAGATGCTGACTTAAAGAAGTTTTCCAAGATAGCCAAAGGCTGGAGGAGGTTGCAAGGGGAGCTTGGGGGACAACTTGTCACTCATTCCATCATGTGTCTACACCGAGTTAAGCCACCTAGTTGGTCCCACCTTGTTTGAGAGACGGGGACTGTCACCGGCCTGAAACTTGCCAAGTACCCCGTCAGGCCCCAGGGATGCTCCTGTCTTCAGGCCCCAGCTCCAGGAATACAAGTATACACTAACAGCACTACACCTGACATCGTCTCAGAGTTCTAGGGACTAGAAACTCAGTTCCTTTATCGATGGCTAAACAGTAATGGGTCACCTTCAGAGAGCCTAAAGGTAGCAGTGAGCAAGCAGAGTCTTTGCTCTCACTGGCACCGTGTCAAAACCAAGCAAGCAAGCAAGCGGCTAACAAAGGAACGCCCATTACAGACCTCAGCAGCATCAGTGCAGGGGGAAACGGAATGGGGTGGGACGGTGAGGGCACGCGGACTCTGTGATGCAGAAGGCTGGGGTGGGGGATGCTCTGAGCAGGGGCAACTCAGCGGTGTTGTCTGTAGGTAGACTTCATGGACGGAGCAGGTGCTGCCTGCACAAAGCAGTGATGGTGTGTGCTCACGCTTGCGTGTGTATCTGTGCAAGCATCTACGTGCATGCGTGTGCGTGCACAGAGCAGGGGAACAGGCTTGGCTGTAATGCCCTCGCTTTGATTTTTGACACAGGTCTCTACCTGGCCTAGGACTGGCTAAGTCGGCTTGGAGGGCTGGCCAGTGAGCGCCAGGGATCCTCTGCCACCTCCCCCCAGTATCAGAACCATCAACGCATGCCACCACGTCCTGCTTCCTTCATGTGGAAGGACACCACGTCCTGCTTCCTTCATGTGGAAGGACACCACGTCCTGCTTCCTTCATGTGGAAGGACACCACGTCCTGCTTCCTTCATGTGGAAGGAGTAGGTTTCGGGGTGAAACGTCATGAGATAAATCACCGGGAGGAGGTGGCTGGATGAGATGGCTGCTAGGGAAGGGCAGGCTTTATCTGTGAAGCAGGGGAGAGGGTAGGGCCTCTTATTCAATGCAGTGTATGGGGGGAGCGGCACAGTGCCTGGAAGCTATGGCTAATGGCGGTGTGGAGGCCTAACCCCGCAGAGTCTTATGTCTGGTGGGAGGGTGCAGTCAGGATGGAGACCCCAGGCCTAGGACCTCCTCACCACACCGAGGCTGCGGTGCTGTAGAGTAAGCTAGCTGACCTTCATCCTGTTTTGTTTAATGCCTTCGACGATTTGTTCCATCTGCCTTAAAAACTGGTCCCGGGAAGCAGGGGAGGCCATGGCTCTGAAAGACAGGACAGCAGAGGTAAGTTCAGCACATGGGACTGTTAGGAAGGCTGTGGGAGACGCCAAGGAGTCAGCCCTGTACCTCCAATGTGCCCCAACAGTCAACTAAGTCTTTGCAGGGTACAGTGGATCCAGAGGGCCACCGAGAACAGCAGGCAGTCAGTGGTCCAAACCCTTGATCTAATAACCGAATGGGAGTCTTGTTTCCCATTCTCCCTATGTTCCCATGGCAACAGACTGCAGGAGGAGCCAGATGGAGATGGATTCTGAGGAAGACTATGCCATCCTTAAGTCTACATAGACAGGTATGCCCCGCCTCTTTCAGCAGCAGGATGCACACAGGCAACTTTGGGGAGGGGGGGCGCCTTTTCCTTTCAACTTTTAACCAATCTGTATTTTCTCAACATAAAATGCCGCCACGAATCACGGCATGTTCTGCTTAAGAAGTGAATTCCGTTCTGTTTTTAGGACTCTGAGGGCAGGAAGATGTCCCCTGGAACTGGGGGGGGGGGGGGGAGGGCATGTTCTGAGTATTCATAGATCTGAACTGGGCAGCCTAAAACTGTGCTGGAGGCAGCATGTGGGATGTGGGGGGAGACCTTCCCGGTGTGCCTGCTATTCCTCTCTCTCTCCCCATACCCAGCCCTGCAGAGGGATGGGGGCCAGAAGGGTCAGAGAACATCGGGGCTCAGGGCTCACAGCACTGGGGGTTCTCCCAGGGAGTGGGCTGTCAGAGCAGAGGTGTCGTGGTTATCAGGGAGACAGCAACACTGTCTGTGAAGGGCGACAGGACCCAAAGGCAGGTGCCACACCCGCACCTCCCAGGAAACTGGCTGCTGGTTTTTTTTTTTTTTTTTTTTTTTTATTTCTTTCCCTTGTATGCCATGGGTCCTAAGGTTCAGACTTGGTGGAGAATGCCCTAGCTCCGCTGTGTTTAAATGAGAAAAGATGTAGAAACCCCTGATTCTGGAGGAACTTGGTCTTAAAATGTTTCTGGTCTACTGCCAGGGGCCCACAGAGGCTTGCGATAGAAAAAGGAAACGTGCTATTCTGGGAGCAATCCTTGGGGAATCAGGAGGGCGGGTGGCTAGCTCACCCTGAACACACTCCAGAGCTGGTGCAACCTAGTGGCCTTGCTATATGATTTATAGAGATGCCCTCGCTATTTATTTTATTTACTGGGACAGAATCTCCTGCAGCCCAGGTTGGCCTTGAACACACTTTGTAGGCAAGAACGATCTTAAAGTCTCGATTCTCCTATCTTCCCTTCCAGGCGCTGGGATTACAGGTGTGCACTAAGAAGTCCCAGGTCATGTAGTGCTGGGAACTGAGCCCAGGGCTGCATACTCTGTACCAGCACACCTCCGCTGAGCTAAATCCCCACTTTAGAGGATGTATGTTAATCTACAGACCACACCCTTCAGGCATCCCTCCTCACGGTCCGCCCACCTTGCCTATCTCAATGGCCTGGCATTCACTGGATAGGCTAGGCTGGCTGGACACGGAAGCCCAGGAACTGCCTCTCTCCACCCCCTCAGCTGTGGGATTACAATCATGATACTACACTTGATTTCCTGTCTTAGGATGGAACCCAGGTCCTGGTGCAAGGCAGACTCTTCACCCACGGCATTTTAGCTTGCAGAACCTTCCATTAAGGCATGCCTGCCCTGAGTGCAGCAGGAAGAGTAACAGTTTCACGTCCCAGCGCCAGGCAAGTCTCGCCACCCAGTTCTCAGGCACGCCACAGCAAGATCGGAGGGTGGGGGCGGGGTGGGGGGGGGTGAGGCTGGCGGCCAGACAGCAGGGGAGGCAGGGTACGTGGTACTTACTGTGAAAAGTTCTCGTGAATTGAGTTAAGCAGGCTGATCTGGGGGGGGGGGGCGGTGGAGAGAGTGAAAAAGAACCACGTAAGTAAAAGGCAGTGACATGGCTGGGGTAATGCCACCCAGAGGAATGCGGTAGCCGCCAAGTAGGTCCAAGTAACACGAGAGAAGAAGAGCAACATGTTCTTGCCTGCGTCGTTTTCCCCTGGGAATCCATCTCTATCCACTTAAAGAAAACTTGTCCCTGGGATGCACGATCACAGCCCTTTCAAGGACCCGGTTGCCGGCTGAGAGGACTCTAGCAGGCAGGGCTCTGGGGGCAAACTGCCAGCACAAGTCATTTTTTGTCTTCCCAAATATCACTCTTTATTTTGAGGCTATCAGCCCAGGATGGGTCAGCGGTGCTGAGCGGAGACGATACTGCCCGCCTTCCGCCACCCCACCCCCAAGTCAGCCAACATGGCCAGCCACTAAGCGGCCCGGAGAGCTTCTGATAAAACATAGCCTTCATGGTCCTGTTACCATGGAAACTGTCTCTGCTGTCACATCTGGACCCACCATCGGCCCCCGTGAGGCTTGCCGGGAAGAGCTCTGTCTGGGTCTCCCTGGCCGGGCGCTGTTTAACCTGCTGGCTCATCCCTAAGGGGTCATACCTGGACTTCAGACTCATGACACACAACACAGGAATGACATTCTTGCCCTTAATTCTTTGGGAAAAGTGTGGGTTTTGTTGTTGTTTTCTCGTGTGTTTTTGTATTTCTATGCACACTTGCATGTGGAGACCAGAAGACAACCTCATCTGCCATTCCTGGTGATACCACTCTGCTTTTTAAATCAGGGTCCCTCACTGGCCTGTTGCTTACCAAGAAGGCTAGGACGGAGCGGGACAGTGATCCCCAGCGCCCTGTCTCTGCCTTCCCAGTGCTGAGATTACCAACTTATTACCACACTAGCTTTTTTGTTTTTGTTTTTTGTTTTGTTTTGTTTTAATGCGGGTTCTTGGGACTGAACTCAGGACCTCATGTTTGGCAGGCAAGCACTTTATGGATTAAGCCATCTTCTGAGTCCCTCATGATGGTGTTTCTCACATGCTATCAGAGAACAGGAGAACGCCAGCTTTACTTCACTACTTCGCTGCAGTGAACTTCCAGGCAATCCCCTGCTTCGAGGTGACAGACCTCGGCACTTGGCCCAGGAAGAGAGTCTCTACTTATACTAAGCGCCTGTAGGCTGCAGGTCCATCTGAATCTTCTGGAGCGTCTATGCTCATCGGAGTTATCTGGTTCCATACAGGCTCTTACTCAGGCCAGCCTGATGGCTTAGTGTAAAGGTGCCCGCTGCCAACCCTGACGACCTGAGCTCTATTCCTGGAGCCCACGTGGTGTGAGGAGAGGACTGACTGCTACAAGCTGTCCTCTGAAGCCCACATGTGCGCCACGCCCCTGCAATAAATTTTAACACGTAATTAAAAAATGCAACGAATAATCAAACAAAGGCCCTTACTTCCTTCTCCAGGTAAACTTTTCTGTCGTCCAGGGTATTGTACAAAGTGAAGAATTGCTTGGTTTCCTTGTGCACCGCAGAGACTGCAAAAGAGAATCGCATTTTGGTGCAAGAGCATCAGTCGACCAAAGCATGCCAACACGTGACAGGGACTCATGCACACCATGAAGGCCTTTGTCTCTGTGCATACATGAGCGAGCACATCTACAGGGCGGACAGTCAGACCTCAGGACAGCTCCCAGACCTGTTCAGCAGGCCCGATGATGAGGCAAGGCTCCTTGCAAGGTGGCATTTATGCACTGTGCTCTGGCCACACTAAAGTGGATGGAGCCCCTTGCCTCCCGCCCCTCCCGAGGCCCAAGAGCCCGTGTCTGATCAATGCACCTACTCTGACGGTAGAGTTCAATAAAGCGCTTCTGATACTGTATCAGCTCAGCTCGACTGGGCACTTCGTCAATCTTGCGGTGCAAAATCGCTATTTCTCGGTTTCTTCGTGCCTAAATGTAAAGAGACAGGGAAAGGGTTTCTGTGTTTGCCTGCACCCCACGTGCCCAGCCAGCCACACAGACACACATTTGGCTACTGGCTTGGGGTCCTCACGCGGGACTGTGACTGGCTGTCCTATTTTCGGACATACGGGGTGGGGGCTGCAGACCAGGACCACAGAAAGAGTCAGGGTGGCTCATCTGAGGGCAGTGAAAGGGGGGTCCCAGGTGACAGGTGCCATCTGTGGCCTCCCTAACACGCATTTCCCAATCCCTCAGCCTACTTGGAGGCCCCTAACTGAGCCCTCAGGCCCTTTCCCAGGCAGACCGTCTTATCAGGTGTACAGCACCGTTCTCCAGAGCCCTCGTCTCTCCTCTCCATGGCCCTGCCAGTCCTCTGGCCTGCCTGTCTCAGCAGCAGGGATGGACATCTAATTTCCAAGGAAACGCAGCCTCTAGGCAGGACACCCGCTTCAGTAACCAAATCTTAAGTCCAGTCTATGTATCTCTGGGCAGAGGGGCGCAGAATAAGGCGATGCTCCTTGTAAGTGCTGAGCTTGACCTCTATTTTCCCCAGGAATATTGGGTACAACCATTCAATCTTCAAATTTTTAAAAAACACGTTTGTTTGTTTGTTTGTTTGTTTGCTTATTTATTGTGCATGTTCTCTCCTTCCACAATGGGTTCCTGGGGATTGAGCTCAGGGTGTAAAGGACAGAATCCACCTCTAGGGGGAGACATGCCCTCGTCTCCTCCCTTAAGTGTTTAGTCCAGAGGGACAGGGCAGGGACCAGTCCAGGAGACTGTGATAATTTTCCTTTCCAGAATTCCTGCTCCCTGGTGCAGTCCCTACGAGCCACCACCAAGCTTGGCTGGGTCCGCCTGCCTGCTTGCCTTTCTGAGTCCAGACTCAGAAGGGCGTTAACTATTCTTTTTTCTTTCTTACGCCGGCAAGAGCCTAACTCACTCTACTTTTAAAATGGCCAATTCAAGTGGCCATTTCCCTTCTTCTAAAGCCCCCATTCCTTCGGCGTCACTGACTCCCATGTTTAGCTTCATTCTCCTTCCAGGCAGCTCTAAGATTCAGTCTGCCTGCCTTCGGGTTTTCCTTTTAAACTCTAATTAATAAATTGCCCTTGAGGTTCTGCTTGAGTGGGTTCTTAATTCTTTTACTAATGGAACCAAGAACCCCATGAGGAAATCCCAGTTTCCCTAGCGCTGTACGATGGCTCTGTTGGACTCCCCAGGATTCCCAGTAACTTCTTTCCTGCCTTCTAACTCTTTAATAGGCGACAATGACGCCATCCCCACACCCCTACACAGTCTACACGTCATCGATCTGGGTGGCAAGCATCTTTGCCCTAGGAGCCATCTCATACCAGCACAGGTGCCACCTTTTTATTGTGCCTTTATTTCTAGAATGTTCTCCATGTGTGGGTACCTCTGGATACACTGTTCAACATTTAAGTCTGCTCAAGTCCTTCACTTGAAAAACTCTTGCCCTGAGCTACAGTTTCTTTCTCTTTTCCTATTGCCCTGGCAGCCAGGGATGCTTAGTGCCCCCCTCCTTCAAGCCACAGTCCCTGGGCCTCTCTCCCCTCGACACACGTTAAACTGGAACTTCCTCCCACTCGGGACATGTCTCGGGGTAGGGGGGCTCAGGAGACTCGGGAAGTAAACTCCACACTCTGAGAAAGCTGAAACTGGTGTTAAAAGATTCACTAGGCCCCTCCTCAAGGAAGCAGCAAACGCCTGCTGGCCGAGGAGACTGGGTAGCCATGATGCCTAGGAAAGGAGTCAAGCACACGCCCACCTCTCATCTGTCTGTAAATGGTGCTGGGTTGGGGGGGGGTCGGGTGCAGGGTGGGGGGGCCTTCAGGGTTGCAGCTTGCTGTCACTGTGTAAGGGAGGGCTTTTTGGTGAGTGAGTTACCCCTCACCACCACTCCAGCTCCACCGAGGCCACTTTGGTGGGACCAAACTTTGGGTTCCCTAGCTGCAGCGATTAGGAGAGTGTATCTTGTGTCTCACATGACTTCAGTATCACTTGACAAGTCTCCCGGGGCACCGGGAATGAAGAAGTCTGAGCTTCCAGCTCCTCCAGTCCTCAATCATTTCCCATGGGTATTTTCTCGTTTGTTCCTTTTATTGAAAATGGGTTCTTTTCTCATATATTAGATCCTGATTTGCGTTTCCTCTCCTTCTACCTCCTCCCAGTTCCTCCCCACCTCCCTTCCCCCCTGGATCTACTCCCCGCCCGTCTCTCATTAGAAAAGAACAGAATAACAACCAAACATGAAAAAATAAAATATAGTAAGACGAAGCAAAAACTACCACGCCGAAGTTGGTCATGGCAACCGAGGCCGTCTGCAGTCTCTGGGAACCGCCCTTGGTTCGTCTCACCCCCCCCCCCCGCCCCTTGTTCTTGCTTTATTTGCTCACTGGGGTTCAGTCTTGGGTCTTGCCCACATGCCCACAGCCTTAGCATCCACATCCACACACTGCAGAACAAGTTCCCCCGCCCAAACTCTTTTGAGTTGGAGCTGATGCCAATCACGCTACGTGGCGGATTACTGGCCCCCCCCACTTTTCATGCGTGCATGCATTGTGTTCACATGTGGTGTATGAATGTTGCTGCTTGTGCTCATAGACACATGTGCACATCAAGACCTCAAGTCGATGGCAGGAATCATCCCACTGAGGCAGGGAGTCTCAATCCCACCCAGAGCTCAGGCATGCTTAGTTTTACTAGCCGGCTTGCTCTGGGGACCTTGTCTCCCTCCGAGGTATTGTTATAGGTCACTACGTCCACCTGGAATTTACGTGGCTTCCAGGGATCTGACCTCTGGTCTTTACACTTGTGAGGCAAGTACTTTTTAAACTGTGGGCCTGACCTCCAGCAAACCCCGCTCCCCACGTAGCTGGGAGATTGCTAACACTTTCCTTCATACTGCCACGCGAGTCCCTTCTCTTCTATGCCCGTTTCCCAATGATTTCCACGTGTATGTACCTATGAGTCAGGCACCTGAGCATCAACTTGATCGCCTCTCATGGGGTCATCACTGAATTCCATTAGATGTAGCATTTCCCTTTCCCATGCTGGCTGCCTCTACCTAGGCCAGGCCCTCAGCAAGCTACTGGCTTCTTTGCAGCTCTCTTGTCTAGTTTGGCCTCAGCCTCGCCTCAACAGTAGTTTAAGTGGCATTGCCCACAATACACAGCCTTGTACTTTGGCATATAAGGGGAGAGCTTGGTCCCCAAATAACCAGTTCACAGAGGGCAGGTCGTCCCAGTTCTTGTTTCTGGGGCTGGACGCATGGCTGAATAAGAAGGGAGTAGCCAGCCAGGGTCTCCAAACAGAAGTAGGGCACAGATTGTATTAATTCTATGTATCTTTAAATATTTGCACTTGGTCTTGCTGAAGGCTGAGAAGCCATCTTTAAATATTTGAAAGGTAGTCATGCATGGTGGTGCATATCTATAATCCCAGCACTTGGAGGGTGGAGGCAGGATTATCAGCTGTTCAAGGCCAGCTATAGCTAGCTACACAGAGTTTGAGGCAGCTTGAGCTGTGAGACTCCCTCTCAAAACACTAACATGAAAATTACAACAGTGACCTTGCATCAAGGAAATATTTGACTACTCTGAATTTAACCAACTATCTCACAGAACAGTTAGGAGCCAGGAAGATGGGAATAACCCCTCACAGGCCCCTGGAGCCCCCTGGCCATTCTCGTCAGAGCTTGGCTTTCCCCTCCCAAAGGAAAGAAGTGTCCCAAAGCAACACGGGTCATTCGTGGGTTTAAACCCCCATGAGCCAGACACTGGCAACATAATGGGCTTACAGTGTTGACTGGTTAGGTTAGGAGCAGGCTCTACATGCTCCACACCCTGTGTGTGACACCACTCTCTCAGATCCCCAGTTATCAGGTAGACCTGAACTTGAACCCTGCCTTGGGGACCTATGCCAGGCTTGCCTTTGGAGAAACAGTCTATTTGAAGCATTTTAAACAGAAGATCTTTATTTCTTTTCCTTTCTTTCTTTCTTAATATTTTTTGCCATTTTATGTGTATGGGTGTTTAGCCTGCATGTATATGTATGACCGTGTATCATGTGCATGCTTAGTGCCCCTGAAAGACAGATGAGTCCCCAGAACTGGAGTCAAAGATGGTTGTGAACAGTCATGTGGATGCTGGGAATTGAACCTGGGTCAGCTGAAAGAGCAGCTGAAAGAGTCATCTCAGCAACCCCAGTTCATTTTCCTTTTTAATGACGTGTAGCTGTGTGTGTTTGTGTGGAGGTATGTGCACATGAGTGTAGGTACCTGTGGGGTTCAGAAAAGCCTGTCCCATTCCCTGGAGCTGGAGTTCGAGGTGGCTGTGACTCAACCGATGTGAGTTCTGGTCCTCTGCAAGAGCAGCAAGTGCTCTTAACTTCTTAGCCATCTCTCTAACCCCCAGAGCCTAATCCACCCCCCCCCCCATATAGAGTAAGCTTAATCATACCTACTCTTCAAGCAAGGTGAAGTTCAACTCCAGATAGCAACAGCCATCTGTGATGCTGTCGGCAGCACCTCAGGTCATGGCATGACTGGACACAAAGGCAGCAGTGAGCAGAGCCTGGTCACAGGCGCTCTCACACACCTAGACCTCCCGTTCAACCAGGACATGACCATCAGCCAGACACCTGCGCGCCACTGGTCCTTACAGTCACCCACCTGTAGCAAGCGGATCTTGTACAGCTTCTCTTTCTCCACGTTGTACCGTCTGTCCAGGTCCTCCTGAGAATGAGACCGGGCCACAGTTACCTAGAATGGGGCTTCCACTCTGCGATGGAGCCTTTGGAAGTTGAGTATATCTAACCATGTCTTCTCAGCTTGAGCCTCAAGTTCCTTCCCTCAGATGGCCAAGTTTAGACCCTCCCACCCGTGGGATACTTCCACGCTGCTTCCTAACACCTCTTCTGCTGCCAGCATCCTGGCTGAATCCAGTGTTCTTTTTAGAAAAAAAAAAAAAAAGTATTTATCATTACTGTGTGCGTGTAGTGGGGGACATGAATGTGAATTATGGAGGTCAGAGGACAACTTTGGAGTTGGTTTTCTCCTTCTACCTTAAGTGGGCTCTGGGGATTGAACTCATGTCATCAGGCTTGCAAGACAATACTTTATTGCCTCCTATGGACTGTCCCCACCCCCATAACTTGGAAGACTACAAGAAAAGGGAGGCAAAACACTACCTTCAGAGTCTTTCCCTACATCTCTGTGTCTTCAGCTAACACTGGTTTTTTGTTTATGTTTCTGCCTGAACCTGATGTATCCAAAATGATAAGCACTAATCCTACATGTCAATTTAAACTTGCACCAATTAAAATAAAGAAAAAAGTTAGCGCCCCCCCCCCCAGTTTCAATGGCCATGCGTTATGTGTGGGAAGATGCTCAGGCAAACATCTTCATCATTACACAAAGTTCTTTTGGGACAGAGCTAATGCACAGGTGTGGCTCTATGGTGAACCTAGATACGGGAAAAACAGCTGGACAGTCTGGACATAGCACATGCACAGTTATTTGGACAGGGCCCAGCTATAGGTGCCATCCAACACATTGCGGAAGGAGTCCCATGTCCAGTCTAACAGGTTACAAAGAACCACCCCAACAACTGTGCTCAGAGGAGGCCCCGCCTCTTCCCGGGCCCTCTTCCTTTCTCTTTACGAGTGACAAATATTGTTTTGACAAGGCTCAGCAAACCAGAGCACGCCACAGAAAGCTTATACCTCAGAGCCATGTCTGACTCTGCCTATTTCTGTAAATAGAGCTGGGCTGGGGTAGAGTCATGTTCGTTCATCTATAATACACAGGGCACGATGTCATCACTCACAACATTCATGCTTGAAAAATGTGCAATCAAGTAAACAAACAAACAAACAAAAAACCCCCTCATAATAGTGTAAGTTTATAACTGTGTTGAGCTGCCAGTTGGACACACCTGGCACACAGACGGCATGGCAACTTCAACAGTGGCCCTGCTATGGTGCAGCTAAGAAGGCAGATTTCCCTTCTACCACACCTGGGATCTGCGGCTCTCATGCCTCGGGTCTCATGGGGCTGACACAGGCCTCTCCCAGCTAAGGAATGAAAGGTCTAAAATGGTACCTGCGCCCCCGCCCCCTTCCGGTGAAGGCAGGTACTGCACAGACTAGACTCTAGGCAGGAAAGCTGAGCAGGAGAACAGTCTCTCAGGGTGAGGGTACTTACGTTGTGAGTCATGGTGGGGGTCAGGGCACCCTGTGGCTCTCCATCGGAGACAGTCTGAAAGGATGGAAACAGACAGGGTCAGCACCTTTGCAGGCGCGTGAGGGGAGCAGACGGAAGCTGAGCATCTAGGCTCCGCAGACAGGAGCCCAGAGGAGTAACTGGGGGCTGACATGTACCTCGCCTTTCTGAAGAGTGGCCAGACATTCGAGAAACCCAGATTTTAGACTCTTCTTTGAAGTTTGCCAGGGACACCCAACAGACCCCACTGTGGCTCTTCTGAGTGTGTGAATGTGAAGTGTGTGTGTGTGTGTGTGTGTGTGTGTGTGTGTGTGTGATGTTGGGTGTCTTCCTCTACCACTGTCCACCTTATTTATTTATTTTTTAAAAAAAGTTGTATGTGCTTATTTATCATGTGTGTATATTCACATGCTGGTGTGTGTGTGTGTGTGTGTGTGTGCGTGTGTGTGTGTGCGCACGTGTGATCAGAGGACAACTTGCTGTTCTTTTCCTCTGCCACGTGGGACCCAGGGTTCAAACTGAGGTCATCCGGCTTGATACTAAGCACTCTCATCTGCTGAACCATCTTATCCATCTTGCCTTTTTTTTTTTTTTTTTTGTATTTTCTTTTCTTTTCTTTGAGGCACAGTCTGGAACCTGGAGCGTCACCAGTTTGGCTAGTCTGGCTGGCAGTGAGCTTCGGGAACCCTTCGGTGTCCACCTCCTTACTGCCTGGCTTCTTTCTACATGGGTGCTGGGATCCAAACTCAGGTCCTTGTGCTTGCAGAGCGAGCAGTTTTAGCCTTTGGGTCAGCTCACCAGCCCCATGTGGTTCATTTTCAAAGGAAGAGTCCCTCTGAGGGGGTATGGTGAGAGGGGGCTGTGACCTCTGCCATCTCAGAGGCCTGGGGGTGGGGGGCAAGGGTGCCTCAGCGGCTCAGGGCTGCAGAAGGACCCGAGGACAGCCTGGCTGTATTTCCACCCCTCCTCTCCCTCACAGAGGAGGACACCTCCGACTGAAACGGCACAGCGGCTCGGCTAGAAGGCCTGGGTCTCTCTGGCTGGGGCAGCAGGTCTGCATGGCCTGGTGTCCCCTGGAGTGCCGGGCACAGTGGCGGGCCACCCTGGAGAACACCAGTGTTGGAACCCTGGGCAAGGACCCTCCCTAACTCCCCGCTGCAAGCAAGCGCCGGGCAGGTTCAGTGAGTGGGCTGCATGGCCACGACCATCCCACACCTGGGGGGGGGGGGAGGTAAGCTTTGAATCAAGTGTGGCAAGGGAAAACAATTTCCAACAGATCCACAGGGTCTGGTGGCTCAGGCCTGGGATCCCAGCTACTCAAGGTATACTGGAGAAAATTAAAAAACAAAACAAAACAAAACAAAAAAACAGGCTAAGTGGGAAACGGAGCTCAGACGTTTCCTATGGAGGGAGGAGTCAGAGTTTTGGGCCCGTGGCTGCTCCTTCCATACCCAGGAGGAATCATATGGATAAGATGCAAGAAAATCACAGGAGAAAGTTGAGAAATTCAATGTGGTGAGGCATGTGTGGTATGTGTTGAGGCACGCACACGTGTTGAGTGTGATGTGTGGTAAGGCATACTCGTGTGCAGAGGCTGGAGGAAGGTACCCAGTGTTCTGCTGCATTTCTCTGCCTTATTCTCGAGACCAAGAAGTAGGCTGATGTTCAGGAAGCCCCAGCAACGCTCCAGTCTCCACTCACTGCAGTGATGGGGTTTATAAAGAAATTTTGACTTTGATTTTAGGTGCATGAGTGCATGGCGTGCGCCACATAGTGTCACGGGGCAGACATCTGCTGCCCTAGAACTGGAATCACAGAAGGCTCTGAGTCACCGCGTGCATGCTGGGGAGGGGATGAGTGTCCCTGCAAAAGCAGCAAGCGCCCTGGACCACACAGCCATCTCTTCAGTCTGTCAAGCTTGGCTTTTTACACAGGTGCGGGGGATTCGAACTCAGCACCTGTAGCAGGTGCTCTCACCCAGGGAGCCATCCCTGCCCTTTTGGGCAGAACATGGCTGTCTGCTCTGTCCAGGGTTGATGTCGCTGTTGCCATCTTTAAACAGATTAGTTGGCAGAAGCAGCAGAAGGCCCTTCAAACAGACGGAGGGCTCATGAGAGCTCCCCGGCCAAGATAGGTAAGAGGTAGGTAAGCTACTGACTGAAGTGGTTTCTCAGTTTTGCTGCTGGCCTTAAGCTGCCAGGGGCTCCCTTTGTGTAGTTGCCTGTGACACCCAAGCCCCTGTAACTAACCCCAGTAAACGTATTTTTGGTTCACCAAACTGGACTTAGGACAGAACGCTTCCTTTGGCCTGTCAGTGCCCTTTCTGTCGGGAGCCAATGGAAGTTTCCTCACATTTCCCCAGGAAGAGTCATGGCACCGAACCTCGGTAATCTTTCCACACACCAGCCAGAAGGCAGCTGAGGGCACTGAGGGTTAGTTGAAGCCCTTACCTTCTCGCCCGGTGTCCTCTCAGCTTTCAGGGTCTCAATTTCCTGCTGTAGCCGAGCCATCTCCTCCTGGAAAAGCAAGGTGAACCTTTATAAAGCTCAGGCAAGCTACCAACCAACTGGAGGGAACCGTTAAGTTCTTCACAGGGGCTTTGTTTTTACCTTTGTGTTTGTGTGCACATGCACACATCTGGTGTGCACTGCACGCGTGCATTCATGTTCACATGTGTACCATAACATGTGCAGTAGTTCAAGGACAAACTATGGAGTCTTTTTTTTTTTTTTTTTTCTTTTCTTTCCACAATGTTCGTCCCGGGGACTGAGCTCAGGTTCTCAGGCTTGGTGGCAAGCACCGTTACCTGCTGAGCCACCTTGCCTAACCAGCTTAACTATCCAATGGAGACATTTCATCTTCACTTTTCACTGGTGCGTGCCAGGACAAAAGTCAACAGGGAACCCGGTGCTCTGCTCCCACAGGCAAGCTGGTCTCTTCCTGGGAGAAGGCTCACCCAGGCTTGCCAGACCAGAAAGCGCTTTACCCACAGTCTCCTCCCCAGCCTGGGTCGGTATCTACACGGTGCATTGGCTAGCATGCCCCAGCATCACAGGGGAGGGGAGACCCAGAGCTTCAGCGGAGCTGCTGCCTGCCCATCAAAACCACAGGACACCTACCCGGCAGTGTGCTTTAAACTCCTGCTCCTGGCTTTTCAGGTTTTCATTCATGGCTACCAGTGCTCTCAGGCTCTGTAGAATGCTGAGGAGGAAAAGAGCAACAGCACAGGGCAGGCCATTATCATTTGGTTTTAGGAATCGAGCATAAAACCACATCAAGAATACAAGGAGCTCCTTCTTAATTTCCTTCGTAACGGGAGTGGCCACAAGTGGTCATGATTTCTAATTCTGATTGTGCATTTGGACTCTCAAGCCCACGGAGAGGTGAAAATCACCCAGGATGGGATTCTAGAATGCAGATGTCCAATGAGCTTCAGTGGTTCTCATTTATCATTTATTCAACTGTACTCAGGGCAAACGCACTACCATTTACTGTGTGTGTGTGTGTGTGTGTGTGTGTGCGTGCGTGTGTGCGCGCACGCATGCATGTAGAGGCTAGACCACAGTTCCAAATGTTGTCCTTCAGGTGTTAGCATCTATTTTCCTTTCATTACGGCATACTTTACTACATTTATTTATTTGGTATGTGTGAGTGAGTGAGTGTACTTGCGCAGCAGGTGTGGGGTCAGAGAACAACTTGTGGGAGTCAGTTCTCTCCTCCTACCTACCATGTGGGCTCCGGGAACTGAACTCAGGTCGTCTGGCTTCCTAGTAAGCACTTTACCCCTGCACAGCTATCCCGGAAGCTTGTTCCTCCTTGTGTTTTGAGACAGGGGCGGCTCTCACTGGCTTGAGACTTGCCAAGCAGTTTAGCCTGGCTGGCCAGCGAGTGCCAGGGGCCTTGTCTCTGTCTCCTGGGCTCTGGGATTGCAAGCGTGTACCACCATGCCCAGCCGTTTCAGGTTGGATCTGGGACATAAACTTAGGTTCTCATGCTTAAAAAGCAAGCGCTTGACCCACAAAGCTGGCAGCCCTGTTTCATTGTTTTTAAAACCCGAAACCACGGCTTGGATCCCAAGGAGAGCTGCAGGGAAGGACTCAATTTGGTCCAAGGATCTCATTGGTCCCTTCTGACATTATCTGAATGGAACGGAGCTCCAGCCCATGACCTCTGGCTAGTCTGTCCCTCGATGAGACAAATCTGTCATCAGACACTGCAGCCAGTTTCCCCAAAGGAACAGCACATGCCAAACCCCCTTACCTCGGGTCAGCTTTGGCTTCTAATTGCTCCAGGGCTGCCTGTTCTTTGTCTAGTTTCTCGCCATGATTCTTCAGCTGCAATAGAGAGCAGAGGTGTCACTTCCAAAGACCCTTAAAATGGAGCAGGAGGATTTGCCCCATGACCCACCCCCGTTCCTGGCTCATCTGGGAGAGAGGACCGAGTCCGTTGGCTTTGGTTGCACACTGAGAAAACAGATGAGCCCGGCGGATGGGATGGAGGGGGTAGAGGCGGAGGGAGGTCAGAATCAGAGTTTGGGCAATGGTGCACTGGCTGTGGAAACACAATGACTTCACGGTGCAGTGAAAACAGTCGGGAAAGCCCATGCTGAGGGCAATGGCTTTGGAGTAGGAAAGTGAGCGTGGGGGACAGGGGATAAAAAGTGACAGAGAAACTATCTGCCTAGCACTGTCACAGCAGGGTTAAACCTTCCCAGCCTCTTGAATGGAGTACTACTGGCTTTATGTCAACTCGACACAGGAGAGAGTTATTCCAGAGGCCTCAATTTAGAAAATGCCTTCATAAGATCCAGCTGCGGGACAGGTTCTTAATTAGTGATCAATGAGGGTGGTTCCATTCCAGGGCTGTTGGTCCTGGCTTCTATAGGAGAGCAGGCTGAGCGAGCCATGGGAAGCAAGGCAGGAGCAGCTCCCCTCCAAGGCCTCTGCACCAGCTCTTGCCTCTGAGATCCTGCCATGTTTGAGTGACTTCCTTTTTGATGAGCAGCTGATGGGAGGTGCCATTCTGTAAATATGTTTCTTCTATTGTTTAATGAATAAAGCCCTGTTGGCCAACAGGAAAGCAAGATAGGCGCGGCTAGGAGATGAGGAGAGAGGGAGAAGTAGGGAGGAGATTCAAGATGGAGGACCTAGAGGGCAGAACTCCAGGCCCTCTCTCTGGTAAGATAAGACCACATGGAAATACTTAGATTAATAGAAATGGGTTAATACTTAAGACAGAGCTAGCCAGTAAGAAATGCTAGTAACAGGCCAACAGCTTTATATCTAATACAGCGTCTCTGTGTGTTATTTTGGGGCTGACGCGGCTCCGGGACCAGGCAGGTGGAAAAACAACTAGTAACAAAGAGCAATATGGAAGTGTAAGCCAAATAAACCCTTTCCTCCCCAACTTGCTTCTTGGTCATGGTATTTCACCTCAGTAATAGAAGCCCTAACTAAGACCAATGGTTTTATTTTCTCTTGATTTAGTAAGTGGAAAAACATTTAACAAAATGCAGATTTTAATGCAGAGCGATGCACATTCATGTGTGTTATGTGAGGGTGCATGTGGGTGTGTCCAGAAGTTCCTCATTTTTTGCTCCTTTAACTTTATTTTTTGAGACCTGATCTGTCATTGGAATAGAAAGTCAAGGCATTGCTAGCCTATTTGGCCAGTGAGCCACTGGGATCCATCTATCTTTGTGTCCCAGTGCTGGGGTTACAAGTGCCACCACCTGGCCAGGCTTTTACGTGGATGATCAGGTTCTGAACACAGGTCCTTATGCTTATCAGCAAGCATTTTTACCCATCGAGCCATCTACTGTTAATATAAGGTACATCTTTTATAGTGACCTAGAGAAAAGGTCTAGAGTCGTGAACACAGCAAACTCCCAAAGCGTATAAAGAAATATGTACGTATGGGCTGATGAGATGGCTTACATGTGGCACTTGCCACTAAGCCTGAGAATCTGAGTTCAGTCCCTGCAAACGGCATGGTGGAAGAGAACCAACTGCCACAAATTGTCCTCTGACTTCCACACAGGCACAGTGGCATGCTTAACAGCCCAGCAACATACATACACTAAATAAATATATAGACATTTTTTTAGAGCAAATGTGTGATGGGGGTTGTCCTTCTATATACGTTTCTCATATTGGTTAATGAATAAAACACTCTTCAGCCTATGAGGCAGGAAGATAGGAGGGTCTAGGAAACGAGGAGAATTCTGGGAAAGGTAGGCAGAGTGGGCCTGCCACACAGAGTCTGGATGCTGCCGAAGGAGTAACAACATGGCAGGGCATTACCGGGTAAGCCACAGACTCATGGCAATACACAGATCGATAGAAATGTTAATAATTAAGGTAGAGCTAGCCAGTAAGAAGCCCTAGTCATCGGCCAACAGTTTAATAAATAATATAGCATCTGTGTGTTCATTTGGGGCTCAAGGGTGGCGGGCTGGTGGGAAAGAACCTCTGCAACAAATGTGCACAAGTAGAATATGATTGCTGTGTAATCATAAAAGACTCAAAAGATCCTTGCTGTAGTCACTAACCCGGAGAGGGCAGACAGATGGATGATAGGTTACAGGAGTTCACTTTTTGTATTTGTGAATTTTCGAACCATGTGAACATGTGTTCCATTCAAACAAAACAGGTTTTGAAAGTTCCTAGGTGAAAATGGCAGTACAGCCAGCTGTACCATCTAATCACCTCACCTGGAGCCTCAAAATAATCCAGGGTGTGATGCTGGAACACAGAAGTGGGTTAACTCATGGGAAGACAAAGGGCTGGCAGATGGGAACAGACGGAAGACAGCTGCGGAGAGCTAGCCAGCATAAGTGGGAAGACTGGCTTGTAGGGCTGAGGCCTGTATCAGAAGAGCCAGGTTGACAAATTGCTGAAGCATGCCTCAGTTGCACAGGAGATCATCTGAGAACCCCAGATGGCTGGCAACAGCAAAGAGAATGGGAGGCTTCCCAGCTCTGAATATCTGTTGCCATCAGCTGATCTACCACGTGGAAGGTAGCAGAGAAACTGAGCTGCTGCGATGGTTAATACTGTCAACTTGACAGGATCTAGAGTCACCCATGAGACAAGCTCTGGGCACGCCTGCGATCCATCAGCCAGGCTAGGCCAGCCTCTGGGCAGGTCTGTGAAGTTTTCTTCATTAGGGTCACTGTGCTGGGAAGACCCACCCTCTAAGTGGGAGGCACCATCTCTGGGCTGGTGTCCTAATCTGCTGGAACAGGAGAGCACTGGTATTCATCTGTTTCCTGACTGCCTGTGCTGTGACAAGCCGCAGTCAAGTGCTTGCTGCCTTGCCTTCGCCACCACGGGGACTGCATCCTTCAAGTGTAAGCCAGACTAGAGCCTTCCCTCTGTAAGCTGCTTTTTGTCAGCAGTTTCGCCACAGTAACAAGTCAAGTAGCTGTAGCGTGGACACAGTATTGAGAGACGGTGAGAGGAGATTTTAAACCAGATGAACATATAACCAAGAATCCTCAAAACATTTGAAGACAGGGGGTAAAATGGTGTATTAAGTTCTAAATGAATCCTGACTAAAGAAAGAGCTATTGAGCAAGATACACTTTAGAAGACAGCGTCCATCTAAAAGGAACTGGGCTCCCATTAGGAGAGTCGGAATTGGGACTGTAGGGATTGCGATACAGATAGATTGGAGCTGGTAGACCATGCTGCTGATGCCACAGTCAGTCAGTGTCCTGGCTTTCCTGAGGTGGCTGTCTCCATGTCCCCTGACCTGCCTGCCTCCTTCCAAGCCCTGCTTCCATTGACCGAGTGGGAAAAAGCAGCCCCTTTTCATCGCATTACTGTACCCTGGAAGGGCAGGCTTCATAGAAATCAAGGCTAGGTCTGTGTCATGAGCGGGCCCAGCGCGGGAAGTCTGACCGATGGGTGCTGCAGGAGGGAAGCTGCTCTCCTCTGCTGGTGTGAGGGAAGGTTCTGCCCTCGGAGTCTAGTTCACAGCAGGGATGGGAAGTTTCATGGTGCTGCTTGACCCACACGGGCAGCTTATCCACACTGCTGTCACCTGACCTGGCAGAGGTGGCCGTGAGCCCCGAGGTCCCGCTAAAGGAGGAGGGAGACCTGCTTACCTCTGTCAGTGTCTTCTTCATGTCACTGTACTTGGCTTGGAGACTGGTATGATTCCTTTGCAGCTGTGAGTGAGAGAGAGAGCAAAGACATTTGCTTGAATGGCATCGTTTTCTCGGTCCAGACATCGACGGGGGCCCCTCTTTTACAATGAGGAGGCAGAAGCCCGGGAAGGTTGAGACTGATTTGAACTGCAGGACTTTCGTCTGTATTTTTGTAACAGTTCTCTATTTACTTACTTTGGTGCTAGGGTCCCATGTGTAATAAACATGGAGTCTACCGCTGAAGCACACCCATAAATCAGTCCGGCTCCCTGGCCTGATGTCCTAGATTGCAGAGAAGAGATAGTACGCCACACCCACAAACCAATGTGGGGGCACCTTCCCGGCCCTAAGATCATAAACTGCATGCCAGGCTTCCCACAGTAGTCTTTGGGGACCCGAGCTTAGGGTGTCATGCTTGCGCAGCATGTCCCAAGTCTGCATGTAGGCTTTTATAGACCACAGACTGCCCCTGAGTCACACCCTCTACCTTCTTTTTGGTCTGCTATCCAGGGAGAAATATATGGTCTTCTAAAACAGTCCCACCTGTCACCAAGACCTATAAATGACTAATATAGCTCTCTTAAAAAGATCATTTGGGGCTGGTGGGATAGCCCAGGCAGTAAGGCACTTGCCACCCTGGGACCCATTTGGTAGAAGGGAAGAACTAACTCCATCAAATTGTCTACTGACTTCCATGACATATGTGCCCCGCCCTCAGAAATAAACGGGAAACAATGGTTTGTTTCTCTCCCTCCCCACCATCACCAGCTTACCTACTGCACCTGCCTACTAAAGTCTGGGACTCCCTGGCCCTTCCTGCCCACACCCCACATCATACAGACTGACAGACAGAGGCATGCCACTGCTCCGCTGGGACCCTCTGTGGCTTCCACAGTCCTAACAAGGACCTGGAAGATGCTCTGTCCTCAGCTGGCCCACTGCACACTCAAAACTCCTCAACCATCTGACAGGAACTGGCCAACTCTTCCTCCCTTCATCTTTGCTTACGTTGCCTCGTAAGTCTCCACCTGGCTCCTTAACATCTTCATGTAGGCCTCCCATTCAGTCTGCCCATTCATCTTTCTAGACTCTGTCAGCCTGGACCTCAGGCTTAGTGAGCTCTATTAGTCACCCGGCTCCCTAGACCTCCCCATTCAAGCCCTTATCACAACAGTAGCTAAAGGTAAGGGAGATGAATGCTTCATTTACTGCAGGTGTCCATTACACCTTAGGGCGCACACCTGTCCTTCATTCACCCCTACGGCTTAGCTCAGCACTTAGCACGCAGCGCTATTTGTGAAGAAACACCATTCTGGTCCTGTATATCCCTCCCTCCCTCTCTGTCTCTGTCTCTCTCTCTCTCTCTCACACACACACACGTGAAAGCACATGCACGTGTGTGTGTGTTCATATGCATGCATGGTTTTGCATGCATACAGATTCCTGCAAAGATCAGAAGAGAGGCTCGGACCCCCTGAAGCTGGAGTTACAGCTAGTTGTGAGCTGCAAATGTGGGTGCTGGGAACCAGAACTGGCGTCCTCTGCAAAAGGTTGATGGTTGCTATCTCTCCTGCCATACCCTGGTTTGTGTTTTTGTTTGTTTGTTTGTTCTGTGATGGATGGGTCAATAAACTTTGCCTATAAGGGACCAGGCAGCACACAGTTTATGCTTTGTGGGTCATTTGATCTCTGCTACAACTACTCAACTCTGCTATAGTAACTTGAAAGCGATCACAGAAAAACAGGGAAGCAAATGAGTATTTAGCTGTCCCGGTGAAACTTTACTCAGGGGGATGGGGAGCGGGCCTAGTGGAGAGAATCCCTACAGTGCAAACCTGAAGACGGAACACTGGCTCCCCAGAACCCATGTGAAGGGCTAGGTGAGTGTGGCAGCTTGCCTCCAATTCCAGTGCTGAGGAGGCAGAGGCAGGGACAATCCTGGCAACTTAGCTAGCCGCACAGGTCAAGCTGGTTCAGAGAGACCTTGCCTCGGTAAATTAAGTGGGCAGTGATTAAGGAAAGCACCCAGCAACAGCCTCTGGCTCATCCGGCACATGTATGCACACTTGCACACAGGTACTCCCACATACCCACAGACACCCACACAAGCACACATCATCCACATACACTTTACTTACAAAACCACATGCAGATAGACTGAAGCGAAGGCTGTAGTATGCCTGGGCTAGGATTCCCTTTGACCCGATCTCCCCCTCCTGGAAGGAGTCTAACTCCAGTGGAATTATAAAAACACTCACCTCGTCGAGATGCTTGCTCTTCTGCACAATCTGCTTATTCAAGGAAATTACTTTCCGCTGATGCAGTTGGGAGGTCCCCAGTTTTTCCGGACTTTCTTCAGCAGACAGTTCAGATTGCTGTGGGAAAACCCAACACAGATAATGGACTCACCCACGTTCAGGCTGTCCATCCCCTGAGTGTGAGCAAGGCAGTCTGGGCAGCCAGTCTCACCCAGCCAGGGTGTCTACAATGTCCTGCTCAGAACCAGAATGTAGGCAGGGACAGTCAGACACGATGACTTCCGCCCTGGCCAGCAGTCTGCTTTGGAAAAGCAGGGGAAAGCATGGGCATAGGCTGCCCAGCTAAAGCTATGGTGAAACCATCCAGGCATCAACACCTGTGGAGGAGACCCAGGAGGTCTTAGTGGTTTCTTTATGAGACCATCTGAAATCATCAAGCGTTACAAACCAGAGCTGGCAAGATGGCTAAGCAGGTAAAAGCATTTGCCACCACGCCTGATGAGTTAGATTCCCTAGTCCTTTGGTTGGAGATTCCCATAGGTACAGGCTATCCTCTAATCTCCAGATGTGTACAGTGGTAAATACACACACACACACACACACACACACACACACACACACACACACACACACGCACGCACGCACGCACAGCTTCCCAGCAGGACAGCTTTCTGAAACACCCATTTGACCCAAAGGCTAGTTAGCATGGACCTGCACGTACTTGTGCTTGTCATTTCACTTAGACTAGAGAAATGTGTTAACATGGAGCTCCTCAGAAACCTGAGTTTATTAATATTAATTAATACTTTATAAATGAAAATGTAAGAAACTGCAGGGTCTAGATCTCTCTCTCTCTCTCTCTCTCTCTCTCTCACACACACACACACACACAACTCATTTCTGTTCCTCTAGAGAACCCCAACTAATACACTCAGTCATCTCAGTGACTGGAACGCAATAATTGAGCCACTGTTTGGGAAAGTAAATTGCGGGAGGCCACCAGGATGTCAAGGAAGAAAGGAAAAGATCTCTCTCCAGTACACTCTCTCACCGAGAATCACATAAATGGAGAGAAAACGCATGCATAGAGGAAAAACCCTGAAGGCTTTTAAAGCCTTGTTATTTCTTTATTAGAATATGCTCCAATCTGTTAGTGCTAAGTAAAAACTCACATTCTGTGGATTCTTCTCTTATGTGTTCATGCTTGTGTGGATATGTGCACCTGAGGGTCACATGTACATGTATGCACGCATGTATAGGAAAGCCAGGGGTCTCTCACTGAACTTAGAGGTCCCTGATTCAGCTAGGTGGCTTGGCCAGTAGCCCCCCAGCGATTCCCCCTGTCTCCAGCTTCCCATGATGGGATGACAGATGTGTACAGCTGCATCCCACTTTTTAAATGGATGGCGAGGGTCTGAACTAAGGCCCTCATGCTTGTATGGTACCTTACCCACTGAGCCATCGTCTCTCTAGCCCCTGTAGTTTCTTACATTTTCATTTATAAAGTAATAATTCATATTAATTAACTCGGGATTCTGAGGATCAGCCCCACGTTGACACATTTCTCTAGTCTAGGTGAATCCACAAGTACACATACATGCAGGTCCACTGTACTAGCCTTTGAGCCTTGACACGCATTTCAAGAAGCTGTTTGTCCAGTCGGGGAGTTTTTAAACAAAGCAGCTCACTCTGGAGCTATGGTGAAGATAGTTCTTAACCAAACACACTCCCCATTGAACATTCTGAAATTTTTACTTATTTCAAACTATCTTCCTAACAGCCAGGAAAACCCAGTCTGAAGGCAGACACAGGTCTTTGGAACAGGCCAGCCCATCTGACAGTGGCTGATGGACAGTTCTAGTGGGAGAGTTGGTGATGAGGACAAAGGCGTGCTTTTAACAGTAGTACAAAGTAGGTCAGATGGAGAAGATAGGGCAGGGCTTTCCACCCAACCCTCAACGGGAAAACGTTTAAATCCCAGGTATCTTAACAGTCTATTTACAACACACAACATCTGTCAGAAAGGCCAGCCGTTGACAAGCACACCCTTGTGTCCACCGAGGGGCAATGTGCGGATCTCATTTTGTTCAATGATTGCAGATTAAGAACGTGCCTGTAAAACCACAGTGTGGATTAAGAGAGCCTGCTGCAGATCTCATGTTTTCTAATGTGACGGACAGAGGTGACACTTGTTCTTAGGGGAGATGGCTTTAAATGGCACTTGATGGCATCAGTCCAGTTCAAAATGTTAAATACCCAAGAGAAATAAGAAATGATTACCTAAAACGCTATCCTTTCAGAATTGGATGAGTCCCCAAAGGTTACCTATGTATTAACCTCCACCCTGTTCTCCCTCATTCAGTGCTAGGGATCAAACCCAGGGCGTTGTGAATGCTAGCGCTCTACCACCAAGCTATGTCCTCAACTCTAACTTTCTTCTAGTTCAGGATGCTCCCCCTTATGAGTCCCTCAGATGAGAAGAGGAGGACCCCTGCACACCCACCAGGATCCAAGTTTTTCACAGTGACCTACACAACTTAAGTTTCCAGCATCTTTTAAGCCTCCAGCTGAAATCAAGCAGATGACAAAAACAGGCAGCTAGGTTCCCCTCCTGAATAAAGCTACGAGCGAGAAAGAACACTATGCAATTCTGGAAGGCCAAATGGAAGTGAATGTGGTAATCTAGAAGGCGTATGCCCTCACTGAAGGTGGCTTACTTCCCTGAGGGTATTTTTCCAAAACCTTGTAATGTCGATTACACAGTCGATTAAAAAAGGCCTCATGTTAGCCTTTGCATTGGCACAAGAGGAAAAGGTCGCAATGAAATGAAAGAACAGAGGAGCAGCTTCATGGAGTTCTGCCAGCTAAACCCACAATGCTCCCTGCATGCCTTCAAAACTGCAAGCCAAAAGCCAAGTGTGGTGGTGCACACCTACAGTCCCAGCACTTGGGAGATGGAGACAGGAAGACCACGAGTTCAAAATCATCCTCAGAAGCGGAGTGAGTTGAAGCCAGCCTATACTCCAGGAGACACTGTCTCAAAACACAAAACCAAACCAAACACCTGCTGGTCGGGACCCAAAAGTGGACCAGTGCTGAGGTGTCCCCCGGTGCCTAAGAAGCAAAGCTAGAACAGAGCTGCCGACACAGAAAGCTTGCAGTGAAGTATGGTGAACCCACAGTCAACACTCGCAAGCAGGCTGGAGAGATGGCTGAGTGTTCAAAGGCACCTGTCACCAACCTACCTGAGTTCAATCCCCGAAACCCACATAGCACAAGGAGAGAACAGACTCCTGCAGTTGTCCTATTGATCTCCATGTGATCATGTACACCCATGTGTGTTCACCATGGTGTGTACACCCACCCCTAACGTGTAAACGTACTTGACACCTCTCCACAATCACTCAGAGCACCGTGAGCCCAAGCCAGCAGGAACAGACCACAGAACCAGGCTTGCTAGCACTGAAACACAGGAATGGTCAACGTGTGTGGGAATACCTACAATATACCTACAATTCTTCTATACCAGGGTGTCAGTGTTTCTCACTGCCTTTCCTGCTGTCCCTCTGGCACACCATGGTGTCCAAGTGACCCTTCTGATGTGCTCCCATGGAATGGGACCATCTATTGTTCCTGGTCCACATTCTGCTCCCCTGTAACTTTTTAACATTGTGTGTGTGTGTGTGTGTGTGTGTGTGTGTGTGTGTGTGTGTGTGTGTGTGGTTGGACATGATGCAAGTGTGTGGAGGCCCCAGATCAAACTCTGAGTGCCATTCACGTGCTGTTCATTCTTTTTTCCTTTGGGACGGGGGTCTCTCACTGGAACCTGGAGCTCAATGATTACGGTAGGCTGTGTAGCCCATGAGACCCAGGGATCTTCCTGTCTCTCTTCTCCAGCGTTGAAATTATAAATGTGCCCACCATACCCATCTTTTTATGTGGGCTCGGGTCCTCATGCTTGTGTGACTGAGCCATCTCCAAAGTCCCCAGTTGTCTTTATAACTGTTTTGAGAAGCTTTTATACATAACCTAGGAACAGTGGCCAAGTTGCAAAACCAGGGTAGTTAAATAGCGCGAAGACAGGAGCCACAAGTAGGCAGATAAAGCATTAATGTTTTTTTCTTCTGGTCCCATCCTATCAGATTTAGGACATAAATGTCCTGAGGGCCTCTGGGTACTAGGCACCGCGTGCTAATTTAATGACAGCAGCCTGTTCCTGTGGGAAATCACAATCCCCAGTCTATGGAGGCACTGCTAACCACAGATCCCAACTTGGATACAACAAACGGCCCAAGGAGAAAATAAATGACTTGAGCCTGTCAAACAGCAATGAATAGCTCAGGACTTCATACAAAGACATGGGGGAGGGGGTGGCAGGGAGATGGCAGTATGACTAAAATAGTCTGTGGCCAGGCCTCCAGGGTGAAGACCTTGAGAAAGGATGGAAAACATGGGCAAAGTGAATGATAGAACTGAAGAGGCATGCCTTTCCAATCCATTCATGCTGCTGTGTGAACTGGGCAAAATATTGAACTTAAGTGACTATTGGTGCCCAGTCGTAAATGGGACAGCTATGTCACTCCCTCTGAGGAGCACTAACGGCAGGTGGACAGGAAAGGAAAGAATGGAAAAGCCAACAGGGTGGCAAGGGCTGCTGTGAAACGGCCTCCCAGACATGACACGGCCACCACACTGATGGACTCAGATGGCTTTGGCTACCAGCACAAGACCCTCATAAGATCAAGCCAGTCAACTTCCCGAGCTGGGTGGGGGATCATGAGGCTTCGCCTGGCAACCCAAGGAGCTGCTGTCAGTTGATGGTTGCTGGGGGAGGGAGAGTCACTTTTTACAGTTATGTAGGCACTGGAAAGTTCTGCCCATGCTACAGTAAACAGTCCTCATCTGTGCTTATCCGGTTGCCTTAGTTAAACCCAGGAGGATGTGTGTGTGTGTGCAGGCGGGAACACACACACACACACACACACACACACACACACCAGCAAAACACAAAAGATGAAAACAGGAGAGTTTGTTTGGAAGAAGGGTTCAGCGAGTGAGGTGAAAATGAACAAGATACATTACATACATGTAAGATATCGTCAAAAATATAAGTATAA